TTTTTTTTTTTCTGATGATTTTTTTTTTCATTTTGAAAAGAGGATATCACAAAATTGCTGCGATGTAGGGCTTAACTTAAACTTTCAAGCAATTAATACTGTATTTCGGTTCAGAATCAGTACGGAGGGCTGAAAAATGGAGTTTTGTTTGGCCTACGTCGCAGGTGTCACACTCGTCACTCTCAGAATTTGTAGATGTTTTTACAGATATATTTGGCTTTAAAGTTAGGAATTCTATTAATTCTTCGTGCAGTTTTTGTCTCCTTATTTTTATAGCTCTTTTAAAACAGTTCTTAAAAGTCTTCGTCGTCTGGCACTGAGGTCTTCTATATCTCTGTCAACAAGCAACACCATTGCTAAATATGGATCAGTGAGAAGAGATTAGTCGATCACCAAATAAACCACATCAACTGAAATTGACGGAAAAACTAACATGTGTCGATTCCATTAAGGAGCATAGAGAGTTTCAGCAATCCAAGCCATCTTTTTTTAGTCGGTAATATAAGCATTGGTGGAAGATGAAAACTAAGTTAAAATCAGTACGAAACAACTGGCTTTTACCATGGGCTTGAAAAATGGGTCAGAGTTGAGTAAGAAAAGCTAGCAGTGTAATAAATAATATTTGTAGTGTTCCTTTTATCAATGACCAACGTTTCGAATCATTTATTAAAACTAAACGAAAGCCATGGTATTTTCCTGACATTTGTTAAAGTGTCATATCAGAATGCAGCTAAGTATCTTCCATAACTATCTTGACTTGTGTCTGCAACGATGCCTCAAACTGCCTTTCATCAAAGGCAGTTTCTGTTATATTTTTCAAGTCAATTTCTGATTTATTTTTCTCGTTTCCCGTCTCCTGTTTCTTGGTGGAAACTGCCTTTGATGACAGGGGAGTGCCGGAAGCAGAATTGGGCAAACTGGAGGAGGGATGTATAGTTCCCTGCTATTTTTTGTTCGACCAAAAAAAGTGATCTTAATTAATAGGAGTTCTTGTAGTGTAAATCTTAAGCAGCAGTGTTTTTTTTTTTTTATACTTGAAATTGAGGTTAGATGCTGGTTTACTTTAACACTACTTATTTAATTTCGTTACCTATGATTGAAAGTTGTTTTAAAGGACAGGGATGGTTAACAATAGGTTTATATCGCATTAAATTATTCTAAAGTCTTAAAAGGGTTCTGCTGCAGTTGATTGAAAAATACATTGAAAAAACACTGCTGTTGAAAAATATTTTTATTTCTTAGCTGTGTAGGGCTAACGTCTATAGATTAGTCACTGGAAGACTATTTTAGAAGACTTATTTTAACACATCGTTTAGTACTCAGTTTAGAGGGCTGTTTAACGATGAAAACTTTTATACAACATGTTACTTTGTTAGGCTGAGCACCATTGTTTTCAGCCTTTGTTTGTCTCTTTGACTCTTTATAAGTAAAAGTTCACGTGTGTGCTATTTTTTTTTGCTTACTTGAAGTCAATACTGTAGAGTAATTAAATTTTGAAGGTTTTTTGAAGTATAAAACTTTTATTGGTTTTTATCAGTATTTAAGCAATGTTATTAAGGATAAATATTGCTTTAAAGTTTCTCCTTATCTTTCTCTACTCATTGCTTAGAGAAGGTATCAGAGTCAAACTAGTTTTTAATTCTATTCAGCCACTAGTTTTTAGGATTTACCATCAGTCTAACGGACGCCTGACTTGTGATCACGAAGAAAATTTTGAAAATTTGACAGAGCTTGTGAAAGTAAGGTGTTAATGCTGTTACTTGTCGAGTAATCCTTTGCAAATTCGTTATGGTAGTATTGAAATTTGTTAAGCTAACAGAAGTATTTCAGCACTATAAGCGAGATGCTGATGGGCTCTGCTGTAGATTAGCAACCCCGATTATTGAGGAAAACTACTGCATACCACGTGATAATCTTAGTTTTGAGGATCGAACACGTTTTTTTCGGCAGAGTTCCTTGGTGATAAGACGCTCGGATATTCATCTTGGTGATATTATTGGACACGGGGAGTTTGGAGGTGAATTTTCTTTTTTATTCTGTTGTTTACTGATTTTGTCGATGACTTTTTGTTTAGATGTTCTATCTGGTAATTATGATGGGCGGTGTGTTGCTGTCAAGGTTCTGAAAAGGAGTGGTATGGTACAGTCTTTGCTTGACGAAGCGAAGTTTATGATGTCGGGCATTTGTTTCTTATATTTGAGTCAAATATTTTATATTTTCATCTGGGACTGAAGTCACATAGGACTTCCCAATCTTGAGAAATTAGTAAATTCTTACTTGTTTTTAGTGACTTAGATCATAAGAACCTCGTATCATTAGTGGGTGTTGTGCTGGATGATGCCAGTGATGTGTTTATGGTCACTGAGTACATGGCCAATGGAAATTTGGTGAGATTATTCTCATTTGCTGTTAGATTTCAAGCTTTATTTTCCAATACGTGCAGTACACTTGTTTTCCGACTTGTAGCCTTTGATTGGTAGTAATTTTTTCGCAATAAAAGTTTACAGTTCTTTTTTCCCAAAAGAATGCTTCTTACTATTGATCTCAGTTATCTAATTTTCAAGGTAGACTTTCTACGTTCTCGTGGTCGTCACCAGGTGGAAAGGCTGCAGTTAACACAGTTTGCGATGGACATTTGCGAGGGGATGCGTTATTTAGAAGCAAGGAATGTTGTACATCGAGATTTAGCAGCTCGGAACATCTTGTTGGATAACACGTTAACAGCGAAAATTAGCGATTTTGGATTAGCAAAAAAAGCAAATGAATGTCATTCGTTAGAGAGTACTGTAGGGAAGTTCCCAATCAAGTGGACTGCTCCGGAAGCGTTGCGCTACAGTGTAATTATTTTGACTCAGTTGTTGTTTTGCTGCGCCAAAATACACTTTGTTTTTTTTTTTAAGGAGCAGCTTTAAACAACGTGTTTATTTTTATTCTTCACCGAAATATTTATTAAGTTACCAGTTAGGTAATTAGTCCCTTATTTGTTATTGAGCCACAAAATATATTTTCCGTTAGCTCAATAGCTTTTTTGCAAATGCAAAGTATGAGTAACTAGCTAGCAGTGAAGTTTTAAAGTCTGTTAGGCTTTTTTGTTTAATAAAAACGAAACGTATGAAAAAGTTGGAGTTTTAAAAATTACTTGATTTTAGCGTTTTTCGACTAAGAGTGATATGTGGTCATTTGGAGTTTTACTGTGGGAAATATTTTCATTTGGTCGAGTTCCCTATCCGCGCATCGTAAGCTTGTAGATTTATCTTTTGCTTGTATTTCCTTGATGGTTACTACATCAAAAACGCATTTTACAAGTATTGGCTTTGAGGTCGTTATGCACGATGTTCGAGTTATATGATCTGCTCTCTAGTTTCTTTTCCTTTTCTGCGTCATTTATCTTCCTGAAAATAATACCTGTTTAGCCTATCCAAGATGTAATACGCCATATTGAAAAAGGATATCGTATGGAGCCACCGGAGGGCTGCCCTACGGGGATTACAAGATTAATGAATGACGCATGGACTTTAGAACCTGACCAGAGACCTTCGTTCAGTGAAGCCTTGGAGAGGTTAAAACATGTACATTCAAGCATAATTTCTGTTACAATGGGTATGTCTAGCTGACCACTGGTTTAAAATCACTTATCGTGTCTTGTTTGTGCTTATGATCTCAATGTATTGTTTTATTCTTTTTCCCGAATGCAGCAAGGAGTCTAGAAGTTATTGTCAGCATTTTAGTAGGTTCTTTGAGCTAAATTGACTTAAACAAAGCGTGAACAGGATTACCTTATTCATTTTTTAACGTTTGTAGTTGGAAAGCCAGAACGCTGACAACTTCTTTGAATCCCATCGCTTTTCTTCTGTTGTACAGTTTTTTTTGGTAAGAGGAAAGTGTAATACATGATCAGTATGTTTCGTTTCTCTCTCCTTGCTTCTGAAAAACTGATTTTTTTTTTCATAAATAATGAATCGTATTTGGGGGGATTCTGATGTTATTTATAAACATTGATCAACTACTTTTAGATGGCTTGTATTCCGTGGATGGTGCTTTAAGTCTTATCTTATTCCCTTTCAACTCTTTGCTCGTAATTCCTGCACTTAATTTATCGTTTACGGAGTTCTTTTCTGGCTGTTAATATTTTGCCCAGTGAACACATTAACGTAT